CTGCAGTCCTCTTAGCCCTTGGTTGAGTTTCTTCATTTTGTTGGTATCTTCAGCATGGTTCAGTTTATAAGCAAGGGCAAGATAACAAGCTGCTCTGTCTCATGGTCTCTGCTATTGAGCTCGGATGCTGAGTGGCATCAAAGGCTCCAGCACACATTTTGTATGGTAGCATTAGCTTTTGGCCTTGTCTGAAGGCAGTGCTCTCTTGGAACACAGAATGGTTAAGGATCTGGCTGGATGGTAGCCGGGAACAAGTCACTGACTTCCTAGAAGTCATGAGCTCATCATTTGGGACTTCAGTGGTGACACATTTTATTTGCTCATTCCATTATCTCTTTAGTTACCTCTTCAGGTTCATTGTGCCCTGATTCCTAATGTCTGGCTCAGTGACATCTTCATGACGACTTTCTAGACTATAGACTTGTCTGCTGTAAGGATTCCTCTGACTTCCTGTTTTGTTGGCTTGTCCTCCCTTCCCAGGCATTTGCCTTTTAGCTTGGTGAGGAGCTGGTGGCCTAGCATCCCTCATGCCTCCCACTCTTTTCTCAATGGGGTGCAGTAACTTAGGGTGCAGGAGACCAGATTCCTGCTCACAGCTCCACTGACTCCTTAGCTCACCCTGCAGAGGTCTGTGGCCCAGGCGGCAGTGTACAGGTGAGTTCTGTCTGCAAAGTCTGAGAAAAGTTTAGCACGATGATGTTCAGAAGGAGCACTTGGTGGCATGATGGGGAAACTGACTGTCCTTACTCTTTCCTTTGCGGACTCATACATGATATTGTGTGGGTATGAGACAGAGTCTCACTATGGAGTTCAGGCTGGCCTTGGACTCACTGTGTAGCCCAGGTTGGCCTCGAACTCACAGCGATCCTCCTGCCTCAGCCTTCCAACTGCTGGGATTACAGGCGTGTGCCACCATGCCCAGCTTAGGTGGATATCTTTAGAGTGACTTCATTTTTCCAAAAGCACTTCAACTTCAAATGTAGCGTAAGTGGATAGAGCTTTGTTTTCAGTTCACACCTTATCCCTACTCTTGTATTTTATTGCCTTTGAGCCCTCTATTTTACTTCTCCAAGAATAAGCCCCTAGCCTCCTGTGTGAGAAAGGTTTAAAGACCTAGCCCCCCTCTGCATGAGTGGAGAGGGACTCTGTGGACTTCGACCAATGCCCACTTGCAACACCCACTTTGTTCCACACCCTGCTGTCTGGGGTGGGGTGGGGTCTGTGCTCAGAGATATCTCATTCAGCTTGGATTTTGTGACTTGCCCCTCTGACATTCTGTGACTTGCCCCTCTGATAGCTTGGAACCAGCTGACTATGGACTGAAACCTCTATAAACTGAGCTAAAATAAACCTTTCTTCCTTTAAACTGTGGGTGCCAAGCTGGGTATGGTGGTGCACACCTGTAATCCTAACACTTGGGAGGCTGAGGCAGGAGGATTGCTGCAAGTTCAAAACCAGCTTGGGCTACATTGTGAGTTCCAGGGCAGTCTGAATTACATAGTGAGACCCTGTCTCACACTCCCCCCGACAAATTGTGGGTGTCAGGCATTGTATCTCAGTGATAAGAAAGTAACTAAGGTGAGAGTGATGTTATTGTAGACCCTGAAGTGATTTCAGCCTGTAGTCATAGGGGTCTGGGTTGGGTAGAATGCAGGGTAAGGAGGAAGCCCTATGGGGATGTGGGAAGACCTGTATTTGAGTCAGATGGGCCTTGGCTTAACTCAGACCCTCTCTCCAGATAGATGGCCTCAGATCCTTTTCCTTACTCAACCCTATCTATGAAGTAGAGATATCAACACTTAGATTCAGCGTCTGGAGGTTGAAGATAGAATAACCTATGCAAAGCAGGGGCATGCCCCTTCCTACTGCCTAATGCGGAGCCACACCAATCGTCCTCCCCCAAAGTAAGCTTCAAGAAGGGAGGTTCTCTGCCTTTGTCCATGTAGCCCTAGTCTCTCTCTCTCTCTCTCTCTCCCTCTCTCTCTCTTTTTAGTACAGGGGATTGAACTTGGGACCTTGGTCCTGTGAGACGGGTGGTGTATGTTGCCCTAGTTTCTAGGACAGTATCCAGCACACTAAGTATGGAGTATGTATATGTTGAGTGAAAGAATGATTTTGTGGAAGGAGTTGCACAGAGAATTGAGTGAGAATGAGCACTGACAAATCTTACAGAACCTAATTACGCTGTACAATATTTTCAGGAAATGTTGCCAGAAGACATAACACTAAAAGGTGCTCATTGAGTGTGACTTCTCCAAGTGTCTCCATTATTAAGGTTGAGGTTCTTTGAATGGGAGAGGTCCTGCTGGGGGTGGGGGACAGGAAATCCCAGCTTGGGCCCGTCAAGCTTCTGCCCCAGAGCACATCACTCTGTAATGCCAGCTTCGTTTCCTCCTATGGTTCCACAACACTTGGATCTTATGTTTTGGAGGGGATATAATTTCTAAATGTGCTACCAGCACCATGTGATGGCATTGTCCACAAATTTATAATGATGAACAGAAATGTAGTATCTCAGACAGATGCAGTCTCTTATCTGCAGGGCACCGGAGGTTCAGAGCAGCGCGGATCTAGGGGCCAGCCGCCTTCTTCCTATCATGTATGCGGAACTTGCCACTAGACATCCTGGAAAGTCAAAGGTGTGACATTTCCATACTTTGCACCCACAGGATCCAGGGTTTTACTCTTTAAGATAAAGGAGAAATGATGAGTTAGATAGTTTGTGCTGTTTAATTTTTCTAAGTTGTCCAATTACCTAACATGGATGATTTCTGTGTTCACCCCAACCTTGTTTCACAGCCCTCTTGACAAAAATTCTCTCGTTGACCAAACTCTATCTTGACCCCTTTTTCAGCCAGGCCTGATTTTGGACTTCTGTGTTCATCTCATTGTTCATTTTTTTGTTTGTTTTATGTTTGGAGACAAGGTCTTGCTATATACTGCAGGCTGGCCTTGAACTTACTATGTAGCTCAGGCTGGCCTCAAACTCCTGTTGATCCTCCTGCCTCAGTCTCCTGAGTTCTGGGATTACAGGTGTGTGCCCCCACACCTGGCTCTTTCTTCAGTTTAAACAAGAATCCTGCTAAGTTTTTTTTTTACAAGAACCTTACTCCCTTAATATCTGATCATCTTTGTATTTCCTTGTTCTTCACCATCTCCCAGTTGATGTCTGAACACCCTAGCCTACCTTCAACAAGAATCCTGTTAGATCAATTTATCCAGAATCCCCCTTTATTCCTAGTGTTTTAGTAATTTTCTATCTGTTGACCCCCGCCACCAACACACACACTTTGATCCTTTCATGCAAACTCCCACTTTTTCTGTGCTCTCCCTCACTGCAAAATCTCAACTCTAGTGCCTATACCTATAGTAATAGTTCCCTCTTAATTAAAGTCTTCCTTGTAGTCTTTAGTAATCACTGAAAACTGACTCATTATTTATACTCAACAACTGTCACTATAATTTCTCGTCAATACCCTCCCCTATTCACTGAAAGTTAGACCTCCTACCCCTTCTTATCTCTTTGAAGGATCATCACTGTTCAGCTCTCTAGCCAAGTTTTTTACCCCCTTTTAGACCCAAGTGCTGGGTGCTATATCTGATTCCTACAGTATGTAAACACCATCTTGCCTTCTAGACTGCACATTTTGGAGCAGCGGTTGCTGACTGAGACTCAACTTTCAGGGCTATGATGAGAACACATTGGCATTTCCCAAGGACAGAACGTCCCTGCCTAGGTTGTGGAGGCCTGAGATGAGGAAGAATATAGTCTGGATGGAACCAGTCTAGAATAGGACAGAACAAAACCTACTTCCAGTCCCCATCTCTCTGTGGCAGGAGCCTTGTGCCCTGTGTGTGCTCTCAGGGTCACTCTTCCCCTCACTTGAACCTAGGGCAGATCCATAGGACTTAGCCTCCTAGACTTCTCTTTGCTTTTCTGTCACCGGTCCTAGAGTTTGCTCCATGGTTATAGTCAAGTTCCACAAGGAAGCCAGTTACAAATGGAGGGGGCGGTGACCTCCATAGGCTTGCTGACCAGGCAGAAGAGGAAAGGGACTCTTTGGAAAAGAGAAGTTGTTAAAGGTGTCTCTGGCACCCAAAGAGGATTATTATGGCACAGTGAAGGAAAAACCAATAGTAGTAGAATATCCAGGAACTGCTCAGGGAAAGAATTCTTGTAACTAACCAGAGAGACAACCCAGGCTGAAGGTTGGCTTGCTCTCCTGCATTCCATGTGGCCACCAGTCCGGCTGCTGGGTCTCCATAGTCTTGACAGTTTTGAACTGCACCACAGGATGAGTCTTCTCACTCATCGGTCTGGTGGAGCTTGGCTGGGTTGTTGGTAGGGGCTGAGGAATAGGGTACTAGAAAGAAGGGCTAGGAGTGGGAGTGGGGGCAAAGATGGAGGAGTAACAGGAAAGAGGAGCCAGACGAACACAGCGGTGAGTGGGAGGTCTAGAAGGAACAGAATAGCAGGGCAGGGAGATCCTTTAAGGCAGGGTGGTGGGAAGGGGTGGTATTAGTGAGAGGAGGGAAACTAGTGGGGTAGAAAACAGAAAGACGTGGGTTACTCTGCAGAGTAGGCTGAGGGCTAGTAAACTGAGGAGGAGACAGGGAAGGAAGGCAGGTTGGAGGATGAGAGGATGAAGAAATGGGAGGAGAAGGTTTGGGTAGAGTCCTGGAAATTCGAGGTAATGTTTTCATTTTCTCAGAAGGCTCTACCGCTTACCCACTTCACCAGTGTAGTGAAACAAGTAAGTAAGCTTGTGCCGGCCCTGTTCCAGAACTTACCTCACACATCACCTCTTGTGTCATCCCCTGGCTGAATGCCCATTGTGACGTGCATTGAGGTAATGTTTTCATTTTCTCAGAAGGCTCTACCGCTTACCCACTTCACCAGTGTAGTGAAACGAGTAAGTAAGCTTGTGCCGGCCCTGTTCCAGAACTTACACATCACCTCTTGTGTCATCCCCTGGCTGAATGCCCATTGTGACGTGCACGTGCCCCACCCTCCCGTCCAATGAGGAGCTCCGGCAACCAGGAAAAGAACCCCAGTGTCTAGGTTTATCAGTGAAGGTAGGAAATAACAAAGAAAAGAAATGGGGCTGTCTTGTTAATCTTTGTTCTTGGGGTAACATCTGTTTTGCCCCATACTAGTCAAATACTGATCAAGGCTAGGATTGACCTAAATGCTTTGGGCCCAGGAGAATATTCTGAAGCAGGAATCGGGAAAATGCAACTAAGTTACTGCCTCAGTTTATTTAATTATGACAGTATCCAAAGCCCTGTCACATCATTTTTATGGTTACATGAATAAGAGGCCAATTAAAGAAGGGATGATCTTATATCCATTTTACCAATAAGGAAGATACTGAAGACCAGAGAGAGCTGTCATAAGTAGCCTGGATAACAAAGTAAGTGGGACTAGAACTTGGGCCAAGGGCATGGGGTATGTAGGAATGATCACAAAAGGACGCAGAGCACTGACAGATGGCAGGAGCTGCTTCACAACAGAACTTTATGGTCCATGGCTTATCTCTTGCTCTTACGGTCCCTTGGCTCATTGCCTCTTAACCAGAACCAGAAACCTAGATTCAAAGCTGGGAGGGTGATGGCCCACTCTTGAGTTTTTCACAACCGCATTACACTTGGATGTTCTTGATCACTGCCTGAGATGTCTAAACTCCACGTGGATGAATGAGGAAGCTACTGCCCCACTCCCCTTCTTTTGCCTGCTGCAACACCCTCTGTCCTTAGCGTTCCTGGATTCTTTGATCACCGTCCATATCATATGCCCCTCTCTTCCCTATTCTCAAACTCAGATTACTATCACATTCTAATTTTTCTCGTTTGATCAAACACACTTTCCTCTCACAAAAGTTTCATATGTACTCTGGATGTCCAACTTTAGGATTATTAAGTGTTCTGCCTCCTTTGCTTCTTCGACTGTTTCTTGCTTCTCCTGGCCTTAAGTGTAAGCGAGATTTCCCTTGAGGATATTACTTCTCTGTATCTCAAGTAGAGAGAGGCTTTTCATTTTCTCAAACTCCAAAGTACTTCAGGGTGGGAGTGGTGTATGAACTCTTCTTGCTTCATCTAATTCTTTTCAAACCATTATTCCTCTCTCCTATTATAAAATCTCTTGATCCTTAGAAACTTCTGGTGCCTACCACTATTTCCCTAGTACTGTCACCATCGTGTGTCCTGAATGCTCTTTTTCCATGAACATTTTTAACATCTGTCTCAAAGTCTTGTTCTTGACTTCATCATTTTGAGACACTTCAGGGTCCATGGAGATGATCTGATACAAGGCTCTGTCCTCTCCTTATTTCTGCATCTCTGAAATGCACCACCTTGCAGATCAGTCTCCTATGGGCCTTTCTGGTGGTTTTCATCATCTAGGAATTACTCACTTCTGAAATTACTTATCGTAGGCATCCTGTTTCTGACCATGACCTCCTGTCCTTAACTATGTATTCACTCAGCTAGTGTTTCTTCACTGGGGTCCACCTAACTAGAATTTCCCCTTGTTTATCAACTTTGATTTTTCTGCTGCCTTTGCTTCTCTTTTATTTACTTTGGATTGTATCATATTTTCGGTAACTTTCTTACCAATGCCCCAAACTGTTTTGCTCTATTATCTTTTCATTGTGCATTTTGGGGGGAGTGGGACCCAACCCCACTTTACTGTAATACACTTCTCTGGATTATTAAATGCTGATAAAAATTTCATACAATTTGGAAGATTGATACTAATTATTGGTCTAATCTCAGCTTTATACTGTATCCTAAACAATATGCTCAATACCCATGGGAGTGTTTATATAGAGTAAAAAAATTGGAAATAATAAAAATGCTTATAAATAAGGATTTAGATAAAGATACAGTTACATTATAGAATATAAAAAGGAACTCTAAAAAATGAGATAAGTACTTGTAATAGTTTGTGATACAAATGTATAAATGATTATATTTGATTATTTCTAGGGTCTTGATTTTGATACTAACCTGGAAGGGACTAAAAAATGACCCAGGAATAGGAAGGTGGGTACAGCTCAGTGCTAGAGTACTTGCTTAGCATGCACAAGGCCCTGGGTTTGAGCTCCAGCACTATATACCAAAACCAAAACCCTGTCCATTATCATAGAAACAACAAAGTTGTTTTTGTTTGTTTGTTTTGCTTTGAAACAAGGTCTTGCTATGTATCTGGCTTGAACTCACTGTGTAGCCCAGGTTGGCCTTGAACTCACAATGAACCTTCTATCTCAGCCTTCCAAATGCTGGGATTATAGACATGCACCACCAAACCTGCCTCTTTATTTATTTTTTTTTTCAAGTTTCACTTGTGAAATTCTAACCCTGAATCTACCTCTTGCCCTCTTTTTTTTGAGTCCAAGATTTAAACAATGTGACATAAAAATTCACAGTCACCACTTAAAGTTGGTTCTAGGTCAGTGCTACTTCTGAGGATTTAGGAAAATGTAAAGTTTTTCATTCTCTAGGAACTACTATGACCCAAGCTCCAAGACTTGGCACAGGAAAGCTTCTGTGAAGAAGAGCTGACAATTTAAAATGACAAAGCCCATTAGTAAACAATTCCTGTGGAGGATTGTCAGTAGATATAACAGCAGATTTATGTGCACCCTACCAAGCATTTAATAGAATTAAAGTCAGCCCAGGTCTCTTCCTCTCTGGGCTTGGGCCTAGGTTTTGCTAACATGGTTGAATGCACTGAGAAGGTCAAGGTTGGCACTGTCGGATTAGGGACCCACTATGGTGCTTCCCTCCAGAAAATGGTGGAGAAGACTGAAATCAGCCAGCATGCCAAGTACACCTGCTCCTTCCATGGCAAGACCAAGATGAAGTCGGACTGTAGAGATCTGGCCCTGTGGTTCCTGCATGAAAACAGTGGCTGGTGGTGCCTGGACCTACAACACCACTTCTGCTGTTGAAGTCAAGTTGGCTGTCAGAAGACTGAAGGAACAGAAAGAAACACCAGTAGAAGAAGCTCTACAATTTGGGACATCCCTAGCCTATAATAAATGGGTTAATTTATATAACAGAAAATAATATAATTAAATGCATAAATAAGGCATGAAATAAGAAATTAAGATGCTACACAAAAGAAGGAAAAGTAATTCTAAAAATGAAAAATGTGGTTATTGAAAGAAAAAAACAAAAAACTCAGTGGACAAGAGAAACTTTGGATTAGACAGCACTTTCTAATACCAGAATGAAAACATGACCATGGTAATAATTATACCTTAGTAAACAAGATGTAAAAGAAATCACCAACGGAGTGAAAAGACAATCCACAAAATGAGAAAAAAATTTAGCCAGTTGTTCCTCAAAGACTAATATCTAGAACATATAAATAACTGAAAAATATCACACCTCCCAGATTTAAAGACCCAGCCCAAAAATGGGCATCTGGGATGAATACACACTTCTCAGATGAAGATGTACAAACAGAAAATAAATATATGAGAGAATGTTCAGTATCACTGGTCATTCAAGAGATGCAAATTAAAACAATGCTGAGATTCCATGAAAACAAATGCAAATTAAAACAATGCTGAGAATGGCTGTTATCAAGAAATCAACCAACAGCAAATGCTGGTGGGGTGTGGAGAAAAGGGAACCCTTCTCCACTGTTGGTAGGACTGTAGGTTGGTGCAACCACTATGGAAATCACGTGGAGATTCCTCAAAAAACTAAGATTAGAGGTACCATTTGACCTAGCTATTTACCTTCTTCCCCAAAGAACTAAAAGCATCATACCACAGCAATATATGCACAGTTATGTTTATAGCAGCACAGTTTGTAATAGCTAAATTTTGGAAACAACCCAAATGCCCAGGAGCTGAGGAACAGATAAAAAAGATTGCATTTTTAGAAAAATATAATGGAGTACTACTCAGCCATAAAAAAGGATAAACTTGAGACATTTCTAGGTAAATGGATGCATTTTGAGACCACACTCTTAAGTGAAATAAATTGAACACATATGTCTAAATATTGTCTCTAATGCGAGAAACTTAAAATGTAAGGACTCATATATAATAGATATTGTGAAATAAGAATATGTTCAAATAATGCTGTCAGATAGTTTGTTAATTAAAATGTCTTATGCAAAAAATAAATTTAAAAAGCCTGTTAATATAAAATGTTGATGAGGATATGGAGCAACTGGAACCCCGGTACACTGATCCCGGGTATATAAATTGCAATAACCACTTTAGAAAATCTTTGCTACTATCTACTAAAGTTGAATGTCATATGCTCTGTGACCCAGGAATTCCCACACTTATCTACAAGAAAAGTAATTAGGGCTGGGGATTTAGCTCAGTGGTTCTGCCATCTGCTTTGCGAGCACAAGGTCCCGAGTTCCATCTCTGGTACCCCCCCAAAAAAAGAAAAGTAATTAGACATGAATATCAAAAGGCAGACAGGGGCACTACCGATCCTCAGCGCCCAGCTCACTGTTAATCTGGACACCTTCCTTCTCCCCTCTGTAAACATCATCTCAAAGGATACCTGGCATTAGCCCCCGAACTCCTCCTGTGCTCTTTACTTTTAAAAAGTCACAGCAAGTCGACTTCCCTCCCACCCTGCTGCTTCTAGGCCCATTAGTCTCTGTGAGACAAACTTTCGTGAAGGGCTGCTGGAGGAAGCTGATATTTGAGCAAGGGTCCTGCGGCTATTATGTATTCATTGGTGATTGGCATGTCCTTATTTACTAAATGTTTATTCTCATCTCTAAATTATTTCAAGACAGGCACTAAGTTGTCTTGCTGATTTGTAGGAGTTTTCTACCTATTCTGCATAGTGCTCTATGAAGAACTTATGCACATTGCCGATGTTTTAAGCCCCAAACCTTAAGGTCTTGGTGAAACAAACCTTGTTGAAGAGGAGCAAGTGTCACAACCCTTAATGCTTCTTACCTTCATTGCCCCTCCTCTCACCCCAGGCTACTGAAAGGATCTGGTAGTGACTTGGCCACACCTGTAGCCCCAGCCTACAGAAATACTGACACATTTCCTCAGAGGTGGATTCAGCTCTGTCCTTTCTTTTCTTTTTTTTTGTACTGGGGATCCAACTTGGCACCTTGTGCTTGCAAAGCAGGCTGTGGAACT